AAGCCCTGATATAAAAGCTTATTTTTTTAATACGCTCATGAACAGAGGGAGCTTGGATGGACAGCAAAGTGAGTTAAGCCACTATTCGCACCACATGAAACACTTTCTCTGTATACCTGAGGTAAGTATGCCTGGAGCATAACAGTGTCCTCTCTAGAGTGAGGGTGACAGGAGAGAGTGATACCATAGTTGGGGCACTACCTTTAAGTGTCATACAGTCACATCAAAAGCCCTCTTTTTTCTTTCTAAAGAAAACGCGTAGAGGATACCCACTTTAATCTCAGCACGTCAGTGAAGATGTGAATTTAGTTCTGCAGTGCAGTAGTCATTCCAGAAAAAAATAAATGACTTTAACTATATGGCAGTACACAGGGGGCAAAGAGAGGATGGCAGAGATGTGGAAAATATGTGGGAATCACTGAAAAACATGTATTGACTTTTCCATATTTCCCCCTAATTCATACAAGGGAGAAGGGGAATCCAAGTTAACCAGCATACTCTGCTGTATTTTCTATTTTCAACCAAAATATACTATCTGAAGCTGAAAAAAGTCAGTAAAACTTTATATTTTCCCCTGGAGGAAACAAATTATGAAGAGTTTTGTCTATACGTAGGCTGATATGCTTCCTTTTTTCTTACCTTCTTCATTCATTCTTCATTCATTTAACAAATAGAGAATAGCTACTTTGAAAAAGCAATATGATCAGTATTATATATAGGGTAGGGATTCTTTCCCTTATGGAGATTACTGCTTACAAATCTCTCATTTAAATTAACATAAAATAATATAGCAAAAATCCTTAGTATAAATTTTCCTTTTCGTAAAAGGAGGCAGTAATTCTAAAAATTTGGATTTTTACATTTCAAATTTTCCTAGAAATGAGCAACCTTTTTGGATCACTTGAAAATGTGATGAAAAATGTGTATGTGTATACAAGAAAGTCTTTCATTGATCACTGCTCAATTGAGCCTTTCTCAGATACTCCTCCAATCTTCCAGCTTGCAGGTGCTTAGAAGTTGGAACATTGGGTTGGAACATTGTAGACAGTGAGGGTCAAAAGGCCAACAGTAAAACTTAGTGGTACTGCCTGGCATGGCTACACCCTGAGTTATTCTCAAAGCACAGTAAAATGAAAGCAAGCTAGTGCTTAACATGGGAAATTTGATTCCACATACAGAATAAGGCAAGACCTTGGTTGCTTCAGGGCTCTGATCCACGAGGTTCCTGGCACTTATATGCTCTCACGGTGGAATTGTCTCTGCTTCACTGAGTGCATTCATCCCACATTTCCTGGCAGCAGGAATTTTCTTAGACAAGTTCAGTTCTAACAATCCAAACTCTTGCTACCTAGACAATCCTCTCTCTTCAAATCCTCTTCAATATATGCACTGTCAATTGAAATCCTCATTATTTTTCAACATAAAGTCACATTCTCATTCTTATCCTTTTTTCTTTTTTTTTTCTGGAGACACAGATGGCCCTTAGAAATGAACCCCAAGTTATTCACACTCTCTAGGGGTGTGTTTAGCTCAGTTTTTCAAAACTCTCTGCACAGGCAAAGATTGCATACCACACATAATGTTCTCCCCCATAAAAATAACAAAATAGGTTGTAAATTCCTACTAAGGGGGCAAAGTTTAGGAATAAAATAAACAGTTCTATTAAATCAGATTGAATGTTTTATCCTGATGCTTTCTTATTAATACACAACTTTGTAAATGACTTTAAGAGTTTCAAATTATATAGGCTCAATTCAGCAGTGATCAAAATTTAGCAGTTTAGAAAAATAAAAATAGTTCAGGCAGTTTTAGTGAATCAGGAATTGAGGTACACTTGAGGTGGGTGGTTCTGGCTCAGGGTTTCTCATGAGCCTTTGGTCAAGATGTTAGCAGGGCTTACAACCATCTGAAACCTTAACTGAGGCTGAAGGACCTGCTTTTAAAGAGGCTCACTCACATGCCTGACAAGTCAATGCTGGTTATTGGCAGGTGCCTCAGTTCTCTGCCATGTAACACTCTCTGTGGGGCTGTACAAGTGTCTTCATGATATGGCAACTGACTGCCACCAGAGCAGGTACTCCAAGAACATGGCGGAAGCCACAAGGTATCACACCTAGCATGAAAAGTCACATGCAATTTTTTTCTTGCAATATGTTATTGGTTGCACAGGTTAGCCCTCACCAGAGTGGGAGGGCACTCACTATACCAAGGTGTGAATACCAGGAGATAGGAATCATTGAAGTTCCTCTTAAAAGTTGTTTTTCAGACATACCAAATTACACATATTTCCTTTAGTCCTCCAGCTTGATTTTATCTACATCAATGATTCATACAGAATATAAGTGCAAAACTATGGTTTTCACTTAAAATAGCATTGCTTTGTGTGCTTGCTTTCTGTTGCTAAAATAAAATCCCTTAGCTCCATCCCAAGTCTAAGTGTTTGTAAGTATTCTAAGTATTAAGTACTCAATATTTCACTTAGTTCTAGACTCCAGCATTCTAAAGAGACATTGAAATTTGTGAAATAGTTATAGGAAAATGTTACAACTAAAAGATTTGATTAAAATTCAAAGAACAGGGCCTCCCCTGGTGGCGCAGCGGTTGAGCGCTGGGCTGCGAAGCTGACCGCAGTCTCTGCAGCGCCAGTTCGATCCCTGGCCACCAGGCGAGGGTCCCACATGGCGCACAGACCTCTCCTGCTGCCCCCTGCTCCCCTCAGCAGTGTACTTCGTCACTCTGCCTGTTCTACTCTCCGCTCTGGCTCTGGTGAATTCTCTCACCCTCCTGCGCTTCTGACTGTACCCAGTGCTTGTATAAATAAATAAATAAATCTTAAAAAAAAAAATTTAAAGAACAAAACTTACTGGGCAGCATTTAGCTAGGTCAAATAACCTGAGTGATATCTTAAACATTATATCTATGATGTGACTGATTCTAATATTTTCACAGAACAAATGTTTAATAAGTAATTATTAAATGGACAAAATAACAATTCATTGAGGATAGTTACATGTGAGAGAGAGGCAAGAGTAGCAGATGGCCTAGTCAAGTGGCTTCCAGACATGGCTCTACTCCTACTTAGTTCTGTAATTGTAAACAGGTTTCTTAAAGCCCCCAACCATTATTTTCCCATGTGTGAAATGTTGGTTGGTCTAGAACTGGATGATCTATAATGCTGTCTTTAGCTCCAGAAGTAGCTGAAGATATGAAACCCCTAGCTATACATTCCTTCCAATCTGGCTGCTTCTAAATTCATTTTACAATTCTGCCCTAACAAGGTCAATTTTCTCTTTTATTTTATTCTCTTTCAACAACCATTCTGCATTCCTCCATGACTGTGTTTTATTCTTTTGACACTCTTTCCATTGATATGTGCATTTTCTTGGTTGCCCTTTATAGTACCCTGGATATACTGTCTTAAATGTGGGTGAAAATAAAACCCTATAGTTACTAAGATGGACTCTGATTGTTTAGGATTCATTTTGGTCATGCTGAATCCAGCTCAAACCTTAACTTCAACATGTTTTCCCAAGAATAGATGCTTTTTCTACTGGTATCTTTCTTTCTTCATTTAATAAGTTTATTTCGGCCTCACAGGAGTGAACAAGGTGAACACTATCCCTGCTTGAGTTGTTTTAACTTTTTTCTATTTTTCTTTTCTACCCTTCCTATTTTCTCTGTGTTTAGGTTATAGAATTGTCAGAAGCCACAAATAAAAATGTCTACAGCAATCAGGCAGGTAATAAAAATGAGTAAAGCAACCACAGGCCCAATAGAGCCTCTCTCTCTATTCCCAGCAAATACATGACATATGGGTAATGAGGGACAAGATAAAAATTGAATTGTTTAATTGTTTAAGTCACAATTATTTCTGCACGTTAAAATGAACCCAAAAGCAGTTTGCTATTTCAAAGGCAGAATCCTAATTCTGCAGAATCCTAATTCTGTGTAGTTCTGCATATTGGGCAAAAGAGTCAAAACCAAGATTTGTGTTTTGGGTCCATGCCAAAAAAGAAAGTTAGCTCAGATGGCAAAAGAGGAAAGGGTACAGCAAATGCCAGTTGTAAAATTCAGAAAATCTCGTTTCCCAATGCCATGCAGCAGCTGTAAAATGCCATACCCCACTCCCTCCTTGAATGATACTGCTCTTAGAGTCAGTCCCAGGGCCACAACGCTATCTTCACGTATCATTGGACATACCTTGTTACTAAAGAACCTTCTCATTACAGCATCCAATCCTGGTTAATCTTTGCTTTTCCTAATGCCGCCTCAGAAACAGCGTCCAATCCAGAACTGATCCCCATCCCTCCCTCTCTCCCTAGAGTCCTAGAGACTCCTTTGGCGGGAACCTAAATCCTACAAGATTTAGGTATCCACGCTTCCTCTGGAGTGTCCTTCCTCTGACTTTGCAAATAAATCTGATGTATCAGATTGCAGGCTTCTTCCTAGTGGTCTCTGGTTGATCTGGCTTTAGGACAGCTTAGTACCAGGATCTCTAATGGAATTTCATGAACTCTACTAAGCATCTTTTCAGATTTACAAATTTCAACAGTTAAAAACAAAGATAAATGCCTTCTACAATTGTCCTATTTACACATTTCTAAGAAGCAATTCACCCCAGCTCACAAAGCCCTAACATTCGTTTAAAAATGGCTTTAGTCATTTTATCTGGTTCGCTGAAATTTCAGCGAATTCAGTTTTAAATGAGCTTAAAATAAGAATTCCTGAACTGCATGAAAATGCAATAGACAGGAATGTGTGGGCTTTAATCTCTTTCCGTGGTTACTGCTAATTCAAGACCCACGAGATCAGGTTGGCATCATTGTTACAGGCTTCTTTAGGAGAAGTCCCAAGTTTTATCCATGTTTTTCCAGGCGCCCCGCCCCCATGCATAAATAATGGGGTGACCCTAGTGTGTGTGTGTGGAGGAAGGGGTTGCGATTTTCGCCTTGATACCGATGCACGCCTGGCTTCAATTCTGAGAGGTCAAAATCTTGTACCTTGAAGCAGGTGATGCTTTCGCCCCGGGTCTCTGAGGAGAGCTCCCAGGGGTCTCGGAGAGGACTGTGGGGCTCCTGGGGCGTGGGCCGCTTCGGGGCCCCCCGACTTCGGCCGCGCGGATCCGGAGCTTTATCCTAGTTCCCGCGCTCCCGCTAGGTTTCCCACGTTAACCACTCCGCCGCCCGGAGCCCACCTCCCGCGCGCCCCAGAGGCGCACCTCAGCCGGGATTCGGAGCCCGGAGCCCGGGTCCAGGCCCGCCCCCGGGCCGCGGCGCCCACGCCCAGAGCCTTCCGCCCGCCCGCCCCGGCGCAGTGCAGCAGAGCGCGTTCCCGCGCGGGCTGGCCCGGCTCGTGCGCACGCGTGCGGGGCCCCGCGCCCTCCTGGAGGGGGGGGGCGGCAGGGGGGATCCACGGGGGGAGGGGAAAGAGGAGAAAGCGGCCGCGTCGCCTCCGGCGGGGCTCGCGCTCGCCCTCGCGCTCGCCCTCCGCCTCGCCCGCTCCCCGCGAGGGGGAAACGCTTTCTCCCGGCATGCAGCGGGAGGAGGGATTTAACACCAAGATGGCGGACGGCCCGGATGAGTACGATTCCGAAGCGGGCTGCGTGCCCCTTCTCCATTCAGAGGTGAGGAGCCGCGCCGAGCGCGTTCCTCGCCTTGCGGCCCCCCGACCTTTTGCCCCTGGACCCGCGGAGGCCGGCGGCCTGCGCGAATGGGGGAGGGGAATATCCCGAAGTTGGGGAAGCAAATCCAGGCCCGAGCGCGGCGGCGAGCGGATAACGGGGGAGGAGATAGCGGGGCGGGCCCGGCCGGGGCGGGCTCTGGGACGCAGCCCCGGGCTGTGCCTGGAGGACAGGGGTGGAGGTGTGGAGGGCTCGGCTGTGGAGCCGGGCTGCTCGGGGAGCCCGGGCGGCGGGGGCCTGGTGCTGGTCTGGAGCCGCAGTTTGAGAGGGATGTGCCGGCTCTGCTCCTCCGAGTTCGGGGGCGACGAGGAAACGCGTCTGGTTTTGATTTCTTCTCTTTTCTTTCGCCAGGGTGAATGACGGTATCTAATTCCTCCCCTTTAGCCACTGTGGGGAGTGTAGGGTAAGAATATTCTTTCATGGACAAAGTGATGTCCGTCCAGGTTATGCCGTAGGCAGCAGCTCAGGGCGCCTTGTGTCGGATGTTGGTATTTGAAGCTTTGTCCTTAAGGCATTAAAAAGAGAGGTCAGAACTTTTGGGGCTAGAGTCACGCTTCCATTAGCTTATCCCAGTATCGATTTTGTTTTTTTTGTTTTGTTTTGTTTTGTTTTGTTTTGGAGCGGGGGAAGACAGTGCAACACGTTTCCCATCACAACATGAGTATCTTTGCATGTAAGTAAACAGTGCCGGCTCCAGAATCAGAACAGTGTGTGCTTGTTTACCTCTTAGTTTATAGCTGAGCTGGTGCTCGTTCAGGTCTGGAAGCAATTCTTGATGCATTCCGGTTTTTAATGATCCACGACCACGTGCGGATCAGGCAGCCGGAAAGCTTCCCGAAGAACGCCTGTAGTTTTGTGAGGTTTAGGGATAAGATTATAGGTGTTTTGGAGTAGGTTGAGCAAACATGAAGTCTTGACCTGCTTACTTTGCACTGGAATGATTATATTTCTGGAATTTGGCTTGTATCATGCCTGAATTTAATAAAATGTAAATAAATGTTTTAAGTTAATACTCAGCCATCCTCTCATCACTTTGATTTATCAAAATATGTTGGACAGTGCCTTAGGAATATGCCTAGGCCAGTCTCAGTAGAAAAGGCTACTTTGGACTTATGACAGTAAGACAAAACATTTTTTTTTTTAACCAAAGTGATAACATTTTCAGAACTGGCCTTGGCGCTAATTCTCTTTAGTTCACACTGAGGCCCTGAAAATATGTCAAGAAATAGACAAAGTAGTTTTCAGATGTTGCACTGAAAATGTTGCTATGGACTATTTCTGTTCATCTCGTCCTGTGAAAATATTTCATATATTTATGTTCTATGTATTATACAGTATTGCTCTCCTAAAACCTTTGCTCTGTGAAGTAGTATGTTGTTCGCTACTTTAAGAATAATTTTAACTTGTACCAAATTAAGATATTGCTTGGTACAATGGAATGACTGTAGACTTATATTGACCAGTCTTTAGGTTGCCATTAATAGAATAGTACTGGGAAAATTGTCATCCATACATTGAAAGTGAAAGTTGATATAAATGATGTCTGCCTTTCTTTCCTTTTTATCTAAGGAAGATCTGATTAGGTGCTTTGAATCTTGAGCTCCTAACTACATTGTCTTAAGGTCTTTGCATTTTTCCTGTGGTTTCTGTTTTCAACTACTGGTGCTGACTTGGAGTTTACATTCTTGGGCAAACTACTTTATAGTAATGGAATACATAATAATAGGTTATTGTGAGGATTGAGATACTGTGTATTTTGGTGTTAGAATCATCAATGTTTTTAGTTTTTAGCAGTGTTTTCAGTCTTCCTTGGAAAGAAATCTCTTCTCTTTCTTGGTGAGCAAAAAAAAAAAAAAAAAAATAGTACTTTCAACCCCATTTTGGAGAGAACATAGACTTTGGTCACACAGACCTGGGTTTCATTTCTGGATTTGCAGTAGTTAGTTAAGTGACCTGAGACAAATACTTAAAGCTCAGTTTGTTCATTAGAAGATGGAAGTGTTGCCTAACCTCACTGGCAGTAACGGATCAGGTAGACTGTGTTCAGGTTGAAGAATGAGCATCATGCTGTAGGTGCTCAGATAATGTTATTTCTCCGCCCCCCCCCCCAGGAGTTACCCACTTAATAGGTTTTGATAAATGGTTTGGAAACTTGTGTGGGTTTTAACTTAGTGTAATAGGGTCTTGTGGGAATGTTTTATTTTACTTTTTATATTCAAATTTAACACTGGCATAAAATAAGTTTTCACTGTTGAATAGATGAATTATTTATATAATAAATGAATTAGGCCTGGCTTAAACCGCCTGTGAGTATGCTAACTGCTCACTGTTTAAAACCTTTCTTAAGGAACTATATAATTAGATAAACCATGAATTCTTCTTTTTAGAGGTATTTGCAGTCTCTGGGAAAACCTTACTTTTTAATTAATTAAATAATTTATACATGTAGTTAGTTATTTAAACACTTATCGTTTTGGGTCAGATACTGTACTGAACTATTGAGACTTTGGGATTTTTGTGGTAAATTCAATGAGAGACAGTATAGAGTACTGGTTAAGAGCCAAGATTGGTGACACACTGAGAATCACTGTTCTGCCATGGTCAAATTACATTTGCAAAATGGGGTTAATAGTACTTACCTTCTAACAGTTATTGTATTAAGTAGAATGTGTTTCAAAAGCAGTTTTTACAGGCACACAGTTTGCCAAGCACATCTAACCTTTTAAAGGCCCTGACTTATACATACAGTCCCTGTCGTACAGTGACTCAACATGATTTTTTGTCTCTGTGATGATATGAAAGATACATGCATTCAGTAAAAACGATACTTTGAATTTTGTTCTTTTCCTAGACTAGCAGTATGTGGTACAGTTCTCTTGGTGATGCTGGATGAGTGAGCTATGGCTTCAGTCAGCCATGAGGTCACAAGGGTAAACAAAGATACTGTATAGTATCTTTTACTTTTAGTACAGTATTCAATAAGTTACACAAGATGCTAACACTTTACTATAAAATAGATTTTGCGTTAGATAGCTTTTGCCCAACTTTAGGCTGTGTAAATATTCTACACACTTTAAAGGGAGGCTAGACTAAGCTATGATGTTAGATAGGTTGAGTGTGATATGCTATGATGTTAAGTCGGTTAAGTGTTAAATGCATTATCACGTTACCTTTTTTTAAGATTTATTTTTATTTATGCAAACTAGAATTGGGGTACAGGCCAGAGTTGCCAGGGGGATGAGAGGATTCACCAGAGACAGAATAGGGAACAGAATAAGCAGATCTACTGAAATATACACTGCTGAGGGGAGCAGCAGGGCAAGACATGAGAGGTCTGCTTCCATAGGTGGGTTAGCTCCCTGGCAGGGCACCGAACTCTTGTTGCAGTGGCTGAACTCTTGTTGCAGTGGCTGACGATAGCTTAATAGTGCTGAGACTTAACCCCTTGCACGACCAGGGAGGCCCTCTTTACCCTATTTTTAATATATGATGAGTTTTGGGACATAACTCCTTGTAAGTCATGGAAGAATCTATAGTGAATGATGATGCTAATATTTTGCTTTCCCATAAAATACGTATTTTATCATAATGGAAGAAATTAGAGGTTATTTGGAAAGAGTTAAACCAGATTATCAGGGGTTTAGGGTGCTAATCACAATTTAGGCTACTGGACAGTAGCTACTCTTTAGTTTCTTTGCTTTTAAGATAAAGAGGCTAGCCTAGATAACCACCTAAGATTTCTTCAAACTAATGTTCTGATGGCATGCTGTAAGATTTCCCAAGATTGATAGACTTTACTACCTTTTTAGTACAGGCATTAACATTGTTCTAGATTATGTGGGTGAAAATAAAATAAATGGGCTAGCTCCTGCTCTTCAGAAGTTAATGATCTAGTTCGGAAGATAACATGCATATAAAATAAGTAAGTGCTGAATTAAGTAGAGTAGCCTATAAGCTGTGTCAGATACCTGTCACCTACAATGGTTAGCATAAAGACTTTGGTAGTGGGATAGAGACCATGCAAGTCCTGCTGACTTACTATCACCAGTTTTCTCTTTCACCCATTACTACACCCTCAGTCAGCCATATCAACTCCTTTATAGAGTGAGGTCATACAGTGGTACCCCCTTCTGCCAGAGTATTATTATAAGGGGCTCTCTCTTTCAGTAAGATGTGATTCAGAGCTTTGAACTGGATTGCTTTTATTATTTAGGGCTTTCATCTCTTGCTTGCTTCCTTTCCCGCCTCAATTTCAAGACTTCTGTTACTGCCTTTTCTCTAATTTAGATTTTTTAATGCTTACTTTTTTTTTGTTTAATGTTAGTTTTTTTCCATTTTCATGCCTCCTTTTTTTTAGAACACTAAACTGAATCATAACTATGTTTACTTACTGTCTTGATTTTATAAATTCTATTTTTTGAAGTTTTTCTATAGTGAAAGTTGATTTTGTTTTTTCCATTACCGTTTTTAATAGAAAATTTCAAATTTTGTTACTATTTTTTTGTCATATCATGTACACATATCTATGTGT